GCCGAGCCTGTCAGTCACCAGCTGGAGAAAAATGAGTCCATTGTTAGTATGGCCCGTTGTCTGAGCAACTTGGATTGATACTTTACTGACATTGGGGAAAAAGGGCTTGCCTCCTTGATCTGGTCGGATGTAATCGGCTTGCCATCTCTGCACATCGCACCTTCAGCCACAATGATCACATTCAGACGAGAACCTCTGGCCCTTTGCTAGAAAAAAAACAGAGGAAAAGATACACTCGTACATTCTGAATGATATTTTTGTGGTGTTTAGAGCAGACATCTCCATCTGCAAATAAAGACACACATACGTCTGCCAGCCTCCTACACAGGTGGTTCTCCCAGTCGTCATCTGGTGGCATCTCTGGAATGAACACCCAGTCTGCACCGCAGGACAGAGCCGTCACCAGGGCCAGGTACCTGCAGCCGGACGTGCACACACACACACGATAAAATCAATCAGATGTTGATATAAACCTAAAATACTTTTTTTTCTTGTGTATTGATAAATGTGTTTATTATAATATGGTTAACAGCGAACAAAGTGACAAATATTGTATTTGTATTGTGACTAAATATCAGTAGGTGAACATACTAAAGTAGATTGAGAGCAAAAATATATTCTACTCTGGACCGCTGTTTACTACATACATGCACAACACACACCCACACACACTTAATGAACCAAGCACACAAGGTACCGACCCACAGTGTCTGCCCATCACTTCCAGGATGAACGTCCTCTGGTGGCTGTGGATGAGATGCATTTTGTACAAATGAGAAGAGGAATTGTCAATAATAGTCTGTAAAACAAAACACATTCACCTTTCTCTACGCACTCAAAGGCAGTTATTTACTTGAGCTGGTGCAGCACTGTATTCTGTCCTGCATACTTCATGTGTGCTGTTCTTTGCTGCTGCAATAATCTAATTGCATCCTTGTTGAATATCAAAGTGAATCACTGTGTGCATGGAGGGAGGGTCACAGTGATGTCTGACCTCTGTGCGGTAGTGGTGATGGCGTCCAGCACCTCGATGATGCGGTGAAGGGCGGAGTCAGTGCCAATGGTCATGTCGGTGCCACAGAAGTCGTTGTCGATGGAGCCCACCATGCCCACGATGTTCAGGTGGGAAGATTTCTTGGCTTCTGTGTCTGTAATCTTACCTGCATAAATAACAAAAAATTAAGAAAAAAAACATAAAATGCCCGTAAAAAGTATTTCTTCCTTTACTCACAGGTGCTATCGCTGTTTTTAGAGGAATAGCGTTATTACTGAAGTCGTTTCATTTACCTCGCTGTCAAAGAAGACGTATCTGATTTTGGCATTTTTGGAAAATGATTGTATATGTGTGCATGGTTTATTTGTTTAGATACCTTCTAAAACAATTTGTCCCATCTTTAATATGATGTATTAGGAGAGTACTGGCTGAGATTGTTGCACAGCTGATGGGATGAGGCTGAAGGAGCCATTATTATTCTCGCAGCCACACTACGTTTGTCTCTTTACCATCTTGGACGAGGTCACTTAGCAGCCCGCTCCACTCAGTCCTGAAATCGTTGGCTCCAGTCAGACTGCCGTCGCCTCCGATCACACACAGGTTGGTGATGCCCAGCTTCACTAGGTTGCAAGCTGCCTTCGTACGACCCTCTCTGGAGCGGAAGTCCATGCAGCGGGCGCTGCCGATGACGGTACCTCCCTGACAAGTGAAGAGGAGAAGGTACTGACACACAAACACTTTCTGGCTTTGAAGGAAGAAGAATGTAATCATGATTGCTGACACAATATTTTCCACCAACACTTACCCAATGTTACCCCTTAAATAAATATGAGCTGATGCTCATCAGGGTGGGTTTATAACTGTGGAATTAGACTCATTAAGATGCCGTAAAGTCACACACTTCATGAATCTTAGCATGTCATTCCCTCTCCACTTGCCAGGCCTCTTTATTTATACAACACAGATGACTGAAAGAAATGTGAATCACAGGCTTCACAGTAGCATTGCATCTCCATCATCTCTATCATCTCTCAGTTACAGGGATCAGGAAGCCATTTAATATCATCACTCAAACATCATATTTCTCGTGTTACCAGCGCTTCACAGGGGGAAATGTGGAGGATGGTCTTGAGTCCAAGTGGAGTCAAAAGATTAAAGGATCAGTTCACCCAAATTACAAAAGGAAAATACATCTTCTCTCTTACCAGTTGTAATGTCCAGCCAGGCTGATACATTCACTTTTATCTAGTTTTTGATGCACCCGCCTTCTGCAGCCACCCGGATACAACGGAGGTGAATAAAATGTTGTACGATAAAGAAACACGCGGTTCAGTACATATTGATGACTTCTTATGCAAACACAGCTGCTGCAACAGTTTTAACTGTAATTTTTCAGTGCCGTGAGGAGCACAAACAAAATCCCATTCACCTTAAATATTGCTGTGGCAGAAGAAATCTCAAGATGGATACCTCAACCCCTGAACAAACTTAACCAAGACTAAGATGTGACAGTCTGAGAAACCTTTATAATCTTTCTATAACTTAATTAATCTCACTAAAGGTCTTGCCATGAAACAAAACCCCTCTTCATTCTCTCTTTTTTACATTTTTCTCTCTCTGTGTCTTTGTTTCTGTTTTGTCTTGTCTTATTATTGTTCCCGCATCGACAGGGGTAGTTTGTGTGCTGTGTAAGTGAACTGACCCTTTAGAACACTACGAACACTACACGATGTATTCGCTCACCAGCTGAAGCATCATGGACACACTCTCCCATGTGGCGAGGCGAATGTTGTCTCCTCCGTCCACCAGACCCTGGTAGCCCTGCAGCAGACGTTAAAGATAGTTATTATTCCTGATGCACCGGTTAACCCTCACTGCTACAAAACCCTTTTCTTTCTTTAGGGGAGACGACCCAGGTGAATAGGATAAACAAATAAAATAAAAATACCACCATGAAAACTTCCCCAGTTGATTACTTACATTAAGGCAAATGTTTTCTGTATAACAAGTTTTCTGAAATGCTATGTTTAAATATGTAAATTAGGCTTTATCTTACCAAATATGTGCTAATATGCATACATTTACAACAGGAATCTGAACATTTGATAAAACCAGGTTCAAAATTCTTGTTTCATTTTGTTAGCACAAAATAGCCCAAAATCTCAAAATTGATTGATGCATTAAAAACAGTGTTTTATCCTGGGGTGTCTCCGCTGAATGTACTGTAGCCTTTATGCTCAGTCCGTACCTCATGAACAAAGTAGACTTTGGCTCCGGTGTAGAGACCAACTCTGACTGTGGCTCTCACAGCAGCGTTCATACCTGAGACACAAATGAACCAACGTGATGGCTGAGGTCACATCATAGGAGAATGTTTTACTCGGTTTAACACTTCCTGTCAAATATCAGTTTAAGTATTAACCTTTAAGTGACCTGTACATCGGCAACAGATGAGACAGAAATAGACAAATGGAAAGGACAGCAGGGGGATTTATGGGGCTGTATGTCTTGTGAACCATGCTGCCCCGGGATGTCCAGTACACTAAATGCCACAGTGTGATCTTGTGTTGTGGCATCTTGGCATGATGCAGCTCTTGTTTCACTAGACAGCAGCTGTGGATTGGGGGGGGGGGGGCGTTTCTCTCCTCCATACCAGAAAAAGGTCAACGCCACTAAAATTAGCCCCAAAGATGTGAAAAAAAGGGAGCGCTTGGGAAGATAACACAAAGGGGTTGGAGTCAGGTTTGGCGAGAGAGAGATCACACAGGATCACGAGATAAATGTGAGACATCGTTGATGGAGCACTTTCCTACAGGAGCTTCATGCCAGTTTTTAAGACAAAGGACAATGCAGCCTGTATGGATAATATCGTAACGAACTCTCAGTTTAAACTTGACTTATAAAGTGTATACTCTTATGTGTACCACACAGTGTATTTTGTGCATCGTCCGTCACTTATAAGGACATTTTAAGTTTTGCTGGATATACATCAAACACTGGTGGTGTTGTGAATCCGAGATGCAATCTTTCTTATCATGACAGCCAAACATTTATCAACCTCCAACAACTGGCCTTCGACTGTGCCACTCTGACGTGCCGGGAAAATGTTGCTTACCCTTTCTGTTCTTTGACTCCTGAACGTACTTCAGATGTCACGCGGCGCACTAACATGATACTTTATTGGCCCCAGTAAGATTGGAGGCTTCTTTCAGCTGGTTGGGATTCAGCGTTGTACTCGGACACATCAGCAGGGAAGATGCTTTCACACTGATTCATTTTGTGTTTTGACAGTTCAAAATAAAGCTGTGATAAGAGCACTAGAGACTCTGCTTACCTTGGGCGTCTCCTCCTGACGTCAGCACGGCGATGGAGCGGCCAAGCCCCATCTTTGTGGGGTCGGTGGTTGGATGGAGATCGTTGGCCATGATTCCAGAGGATCGGGGTCAGACAGCTGGACACCACGAAGGGAAAGAAGAGGAGAGAGACCAGAGCTGCTCTTCCTTCACTCTCTGCTCCTCAGGGAGGCACCGGTGACGGCTCAGGCTTTATAGACTACTGTTCCCAGAGCTCCCTCCCACTGACTTCCCTCCACCACTCACTCACAACTCTACCCCTTTAAATTTTTCACTCTTTGTTTCATTGCAGCCATTTGCTAAAATCAAAAAAGTTTATTTTATTTCTCATTAATGTACACTCAGCACCCCATCTTGACAGAAAAAAAACAGAAATGTAGAAATTTGTGAATACTTTCCGTACCCACTGTATACCACCTGCAGGGGACACAGGGAAACACAATGGCACATGGCCCTCATGTGACGGAAAACAGTTTGAATGCATTTCAGATGAATTATTTCCAAATAATACGAACAAAGTCACAAAATATGAAACGGATTTTGAAATGTTTTGGTTTATTTTGTCACTTCTACACATGAAGTTAGCCGTAAGCAGCACATGTACTGTACTGAATGTAGTACCAATACTGCCTTCTCTCTAAAATAGGATATCGTGTCGCATGACGCCAATATGTGCACCGTGTAACATTTCCAGTAAAAGGCTTGAACTCTACATCTGGCACCTAGGCACTCTGGGGAATGCAAGGCAACCTTTCAGATCTTGTTTCATGCAATAAAGATGATTTTTTTTCCACATCTTTAATGCTGAGCATTACATAAGACTTCAGGGAAAATAACATTATCAGGCAAAGAACGTGTGGATTTACAAGAGACAGAATAAAAAACAGAATGATTGAAATCAAAGTAGCAGAAGCCGATATATCCTGAGTAGGAATGCAACTAACGATTTCATTATCGTAATCAATGCCAATTACATGTTGCAAGAGCTCAAGGTAACATCAAGTTACATGTTTCAACAGTCCAAAATGTATTATGATTTAAAAGAGAGAAGATCAGTAAATCCTAATACTTGAGCTCCTTGAACCAACAAATATTTGATTATTATTTGATTATCAAAATGGTTGACAATTAATAAGAAACAGACAGTGTCATATATATATTTATTATAAACATTGTACATTGAGAACATGAATCATTTTCACTCCACGCGATCCTAATCTAGATGTATACTAAAGCTATAACACTGTTTAAGTCCAAAGTCTTTATCGACCTTTTAAGACGTTTGTTTTTCCAACATTTGTTGTTTTATTTCATTTTTATTTTATTTAATAAACATTGTTTCTAATAAGTGTGCATCGACTTTGTTAACATGGGTGTAAAAGATGCATTATTCAACAGAAATACATATTTCTAAATTGTTTTAAAAAGCATCAATGAGAGACAACAAGGTTTCTAAATGAAACTATACAAGCAGCGTTCGTTGGCATCAACAGTGTTGGACAAACTAATTAAGTTCCATTAAAGAGTCTCTTTAGTGTATCAGAGTGAACTTATCCACTCCAGATATTAACAGTAACACAAATACTGTACTTATTAGTGCAAAGTCATCTCCCCTGCAGCAGAGAGCTTGGTGGAGAAAAACAGCCGGACGAGGGATTGAAACCAATCGGAACAAATGTCTGGAAAACAAAACAATAAATAAATATCCATATTAACTTGTGTGTGATGCACTGTGTTGTATCATACAAACATACATATAACAGGAATAGTTTAATATTTTGAGAACAAAGCTAATTTGCTTTCCAAGAGGGTGAATATACGTTTTAGAGGCGGTGTATGTGTGAATACTCAAAACACTCACAACCGGTTTAGATTTAGTATGTAGCGTGGATTAGGGGCACAACATTAATCTGGACTGACAGCATCTCGGTTCTGAACTAACTGATGAAACTGATAGATCTTCTCTGATCAGGTTAAAGACAACAAACATCAAAATGTCGGTCCTTTAAAGATCACATGACATTTCCTCCGGCGCCACCATGAGGTTCACATTTGCGGTTTTCTGTTTAACGTCTCAAGAACTATTAGATGGTCTTGAAATTTGGTGCAGACATTCAACTTTCCCTCAGAACAAATTGTTATAACTTTGATGTTCCCTCAACGTTTCATCGAGTCACACAATCAGGTCACTACTTCCCATCGGCCTCGGCGTTGCTTTGTGTTTCGTGTTAATGAGCAAACGTTAGCGCGCCAACACGCTAAACTAAGATGGTGAAAATGGTAAATATTTATATCTTGTAAACATCAGCATGTCAGCATTCAGCTCAAAGCTCTGCTGTGCCTTAGTACAGCCTCCGCTGTAAACATGGCAGTAGACTCTTTTTGTTGTGTCTTATTGCTTTTTGTAATATAATACTGTTTTATAACACTTTCCATATTGCATAGCTATAGATTATTTAGTCAGTTAAATTAGCCATTGGAACACTTCATGGGCTTCTGGTGACTTATGCTGGTTATTTGTTCTTTCATACACTTAATTAACTCAACGCTTGATCAAAATATGATCATTTCATCATTTAAAAAACAAATGATTTAATGTAAAAAATGCTTCCCATAGCACCGTTAATACTTCTTCTCTGAGCATGTGTATTATTGTCACTTGTGATGTTCCTGTTTTTGTTACCTGCTTAGGGACTACAGAGGTAGATTATCATTCTTGATAACTCTGGCATGTTTACATCTGGTATTTTACACTGACGTCCCTATCAAATAAACAAATAAATGAATAAATATGCACACTGTCAGCCGTGTACTCACAAAGGCCTCTTCGGATCGCAAGATGGAGGCCAGCGGGTTTCCACAGCGGGGCCGAGGGGGGAGAAAACCGGGAGCAGCCGGGACGGACCCTGAGGTGTAGGAGGCCACCTCCTCGTCCAAGCGAAGCTCCTCCAGAGGAGGGAAACGTTTACGCAGCATCGCCACAACAGGACTCGGAGCACACGTCTTCTGAACAATGAGGCCTGTAATCGTAAAAAAAGGTCACACTTCAAGAAGATATCTAGTCACATGGAAAACGCTCATTGTATGTGTCACACTAAAAGTTACATATTAATATTGTATAATAACTATTATGAGATGTCAGTGTTACCTCTGTGCAGACTTTTAACAGGAGGGCTGATCTCACAGGTTGGCACTGACACAGACGACATCTCTTCGTGTACCGGCAGCACCGGGCCATGCTGCTGGTGACGGGCGGAGCCTTCCTGCTTCTCAAAGCGCCGAGCTCTTAACAGCGTTTTGCCCGTTGAGAAAAAAATGACGGACTCTCTTTGCGGTGCCTGGAAGAACGGCTGTCCTCCCACAATCTCCTGCTGATCCTCCACGACCTCGTTGCTACCGACCCTGCTCACCTCTACCTGTTCTCCACAGTGGGATGCAGTCTGGAGGAGTGAGGGACGACACCAAACGGCATACAGGGATTTTACAATACATTTCAAATAAGAACCTGACAAGCACTTAATTCTTAAGAACTTAAGTTCACTTCTTACAGTTGTGACTTGAACTGGGAGTCGCTCTGCTCGTGTCTCAGGATCTTTGTCTGTCATATTTGGGCTCGACTCGTCCTCTTGATCATCAAATAATCTCTGGACGATCTCCTGCCAACAAACAAGAAAGTCATATGAATTGTGACACGCATGTTTATTTCTGGTTAAAGATATATGCTGTGATGGTAGTAGTAGTAACAGGCTCTGGATCAAAGCTACTACATAATGTTATTCATGCTCTTGTTCCAGTTATTCCATATTAAGAGGTCTCTTTTAATGCAACAGTGGTGTAGCATTATCGCCACCAGCTTTTAAAAATTTGCACTCCGTTCTTCAAATCCTGACCTTGATAATGAAATAATTTGTTAACATCTTCAGCATCTAAAATCTTGAGATCGCTGATTACATGAGGATGTTTTTGTGACAAAAGGCTATTTGCACCAAAGCTATTCAATATCTTAGTCATCCAACCTCAACACCAAACATATTTTAAATTTTCTATGAAGGCATTAAGTTTTGACCGGCAGATTATCTCGATAGTGAAACCCAAATTTGATCAACTGAGACAAAATGTACAGAAACCCTTCTTTAAATATTGTCAGACCTACAAAGATGTATATAATTTCCTCCCATTACATAAATGTACCAACAGCTGGTATTTCTTAATTCCAAAAAAAATATGCTGCTTTTAAAACATCTTTACATTTCTGAAATGTTGCATCCATTAAGTGCATCTAAATTGAAAATCTGAAAGTTTTTGTTGTAGCAGCCTTGTAACAGTCTTTGACTGTGCCTGAAATCGTATCTGCACAAACAGATTAGGTTCTCTTTTTGTTTTGTGTTGGACTTTCGAACAGATTTGTATAAAAGCTCTGGAGACACATTATAACATTGACATGACTTCCTGCTCTCACCTCCTGGGGCGGCTGAAGGTTGGCTTTATTGCTCCGCAGCCCAGGAGTGCCGGCGTACGGTGACTGTTGTGTTGACAGATGCCATTTCTGCAAACAGCAGCATGGTGAGAGAAAGGAGCATCTGTGAGAAACACTACGTACCTAAACAGACAGAGCATGAACATACTAAACATGTATACTGACCATAGCAGACATGGGCTGATGCCTGGTGTCGCGGACCCTCTGTGGAGTCCATTTATTCAGTGGAGTCTCTTTGACTGCTATTGCTGAGGATTAAAAAAAAAAAAAAAAGCAGCGTCACATCAGGGTAAACCGACAGAGAGGATAAGGATGCGTTAGGTTTCATGAGATAATACATGGTTCTGATAAAACAACGGTTCTGCATCTTACCTACTGCTCCTCCGGTCGCCTCTGCACGATTCTTTCTGAGCGGCACTCTCTGAGCCTGAGAAAGGATGCAGCGCACTAAATGTAACTGTGTTTGTGTTTCAAAAGCAATGTAATAGGTTAAAAAAAAAAACTAATTGTATGTATCCATACTGTGTAGATTGAAGTGCCTCTGCCTGAAGGACAGGTGGAGTTTCGGGGTGTGGCACCAACAGGCCCTCCAGCCTTCACGCCCTCGTTCTGCAGGATACTTTGCAGTGCAGCACGGTCCGGGGAGAAGTGCAGCGGCTTTATTAATCCTGTAAGAAGAGCACAAATGGCACAGATATGATTGACATGCATAGGCTGTTTTATTTACATTGCATTGTTTGTTATGTACCGTTCAGTTTTACAAGAACTCAAATTGGCTCGCTTCTGTCCATTTCCCGTCGACACAAGACATCACTTTGACGTTAACTGCGAGCCACCAGCTCAGCCATCGTCAATATGAAGTGGGAGCCAGCTGCCAGGTAGCTTAGCTTAGCACAAAGACTGGAAACGGACAGAAATAGCTAGCCTGGCTCTGTGCAAAGGTAACAAAACCTGCCTACTAGCACCTCTAAAGCTCACTTCTATTTAGTTTGGTTCATTCGTACATGTTTTGTGTTTCATGGGTGGGCCACTGATGAATAAAGAGAGGCGGATTTGGCACCCAAAGAATGTTTAAACATGGAGGTTATATATTTGCAAAACTTTCCAAGTCAATAAAGAAAAGATTTGTGTGTTCATCCCGATGTGAAGTCTTCGGGCCGAGCAGGAACATGTGCGAGAAAGTGAATAAGAGTTTTACCCAAAATGTCAAACTATTTCTTTCATCAAATAAATAATTTATTAATATTACAAAGTAATACAAACACATATATAAAGACACAATTTGACATGACATTTCTAATGTTTGAGTCATATCTGTCATTGTCAATGGGGTTAACAACAAGGTTTATGTCTACTGTGATTACATGCTGTATATTCAGGTACACACAGTATGTGTAACGCTTGTGCTCACCAGTAGTGGGTCCAGCTTTCTGTCGACTCTTCATGACAGACACTCGCTGGGGCTGCAAACAAGAGAATCACCAAATGAGACCATTAGAACACATTTAAAAGATTTATAATAGCTGAACTCACTATTCAGACGAAAAAATAAACATTTAAAACCTCAATAATGACCAGTAAGTAAAAGAGTAGGGAACAAAAGACAGTGAAAGAAAGGAAGTAAATGAAATTTGAAAACTCACCAGGCAGTTGTAGCGGTTGGACTGTGGAGTTGCAGATCCCACATCTGTGGCTCTTACTCCTTTGTTCCGGAGGATACTGAGCAAAGCTGCATGATCAGACTGGAAGTTCACCCCTTTATCTGAAATACATTAGAAACACCATTTACTGCAATTCAGATGGCAAAATAAATGAGCAATGTAGTTATTAAAAGCACAACAAAAAAAAGAGAAGATATAATCATGAAATCCTCATGATTCTAGCTATCTAATTAATTATAAGCTACAATTGTATTGTTGTGCAGGTGAGATACATTCATCTCCATAGAGGAATGCAGTTGTTGTACCAGTATTAAAAATGTTGAATTAGTGTAGGAGAATAAAACTAAAGAATTTAAGCAAAAGTATTATGTTGCTCCATTTATTAGCCTACCCTGATTGACATTACATGAGGTGGGACAATATAATAGAAACACTTGTCAGTATAACACAAATATAAAACAGCACCACAAACTTCATCCTTCAATATTACCAAAAAGTTGATTCAAAAGATGAACATTATAACCTTCATAAAGGTAGGATTTATTAAAGGGTTGATCTATTGGACTGCAGTTTGAGCTAAATGTACACTGGCAGCCAGATACATAAACAAATGAATCTACATAGATGCAAACATAAAACGCAAATATATTCTGGAATATTGGGCAAAATACAAATGGAAGCGTACTGGGCAAAAAGCAATAACAAGGCAACGACACATTTAACTCACCGGAGGAACTGCCCTCTGTGGTCAGCTGCGTGTTCTGGCTAGCATGGGATGTCTTTTCTGGATCTTTGAGACTAAGCAGGCTCATGTTATCCAAACCGGCCTCTGCACTAAAAGCAGGCTGTGCAGAAGAAGCAGCGCTTGTCTGATGCATGGCATTATTGGGAACGGATGATACAGGATTGGCAGAAACGGCTGACGTCTTAAACGTGTTTGAAGGCCCAGATTGTCCTGAAATCTGTCTGTATGTATTGTCTTCAGCCTCTCCGGTAGATGTCCCCGTACCTTTAGTTGAGTCCACATTGCGGTTTAACGTAGCTGGCTGTTTCGTAGGTTTTGCATGAATGTTTTGGGTTTTTAGGCGAGCATTGCATACATTGTTATCAGGTTGGACAGCATGAGTGCCGGTCCTTGATTGAGAAACAGTGAGGGGTTGATGGTTTTCAGTGGCCCCTCTTGATACCTTGGGCTGAGACAGGTTGAAAGGTACAGGCCTGGTGCATGGCTTTTTCTTCCTAGTTTTCCCCTGTAGAAACATTTAAAGTATCAAGAACATACGATTAATCTGATTAAATAGGATACATTTAAATCTGCAGGACAAGAAAGAGGCACTTACAGCCAGAGGTTTCTCCTCCCACCTACAGTGAGTTTGAATGAAGTCGGACGGAGTTTGGAGACGAAGGGACTTCGCAAGCACTGGAAGCCGACTAACACCCAGTCGCACCGGTGCCTTCCTACCTATTTCTGAGATTCCTGGATCCTGGTTCTCAATATTCTTGTTGGAAAGGTGAGGTGCGGAGAGTGGTTTGGAAGGCTTTGGGTGCGCCGGCACTTTGTTATGTCCATTCTTCGTTCTGTGTGGAGAAATCCAGTCAAAGGAATAAATGCAATTAGAGTAAAACATTGTTTGAATTTATTTTTGATCAGTGCTACCAATACAAACACACATTTTTGCTGCCTTACTTTGAGAAATATAAACGTATTTCTCTTGTTTTTTATTAAACAAAAGAAGCCAAAGTTTGCAAATGTTAAATGTCTAAACACAAGACAAGAACAAGAACTTTGCCTTTTAAAATACATTCTAAAGCATCCACAATTGAGATTTAAATAGGAACGTATTGACCAAACAATAACAGAACAGGATTACACGTATGATGCCAGAGGTTTTTGCACCCTGCCCTAAAGGCAGGAGAACATACAGTGAAACAGTCTCTAGTACTTTATAAACTGGTTTACCTCATGATGTCATGGCGGATTTTGTTCTGACTTTGCTGACGAAGGACTGGAGAGGAGTCCATAATGAGAGCAAGGTGTGAAGAGCAACTAGAGGAGCAACAAAATACATAAATCGTGCAAAAACATAAACAATAGACTACAATTATTTGCCAAACTTAACTAAAGTTACCAAAGATGGGAGGCAAGAAAATAAGCAATTAAGGAAGCTAGAGCTCCATCCAGCCACATGCCTCACCATCAGTGGCACAGTAAAAAAACAAAACTCGGTATTAAACCAGGTATTTAATAATCGCATTTATTAGCCTGACCAGTAGATCACATACTGCGCTCGGTGCAAAAGAGGAGTAGGTTAGATGAGTTTTAACGCGAGCATAAGACTAATTTAGCTGTTAAAACGTTATATTCTTTTATCGTTACACATTCTACATACGCACGTAGAGCCGTGTATTACATACGTTACATACTTGAAAAATAGAAAAGGGGTCTCTGTTACTTCCTTCTGTGCTTCCAATAAAGTATTTCTGGTACAATTAGATCCAAATGTTTTGGTTTAAAGATCCCTTGTTGCGTCCTTTCACACCGTAGTTGGGCTGTCAACTTCCTGGACTCGCTGCCGTTTGTAAAAAGCGCGCTTCACCATTGGTCGCAATAGGAAGCCGTACCAGCCAATGACTGCACGTGCTTTGGTTATGACAACTAACCTCGACCAATGAGCAGCGTGTTCTCAAAAACAGCTCCATGGTAACGACGCCGAAGTTGTTTTACCACGTGATTGTTTTTTGCCGCGGCCTGCGAGTAGAATATAAGTTTATTGTCCACGAGAGCGGAAACCAAAACATAAAAGCAGCACAAGAACATATAACATATAAAACAAGTAACAGAAGAAATGTGGTAACAAGTACATTTCAATACATTAGGGGGAAAAAACAAATATATACGTTAAGAGCTCTCTAGGAAGCAGTGTTCCAGTGTATGTGTCTAGGGCTTTTATTGTGAAGGGTAAAACAGAAAGAGGAAAAGAGGAAAAAGGTTCGTTTGAAGTGTGTGAAGAGAGAATTAAGGTAATGTAGCTGAGGGTTATGTTGTGCCTACACTTTATAATAGTAATGAAATAATAAACACAGGGCTATGTAGTCTGCACCAAGATGGCAGCCACTTTATTCTCTCTTCACACACTTCACAAGAACATCTTTCTTATTTTCCAATTTCCGTTTCATCCTTCACAATAAAAGCTCCAGACACATACACTGGAACACTGCTTTCTAGAGGGCTCTTAACGTAACTCAACATAATAGCTTACACTATGAAGGTTTGTGGCTCATATTCTAAAATGTTTAAATCCTGATTGATTCCGTTATTTAGTATCACGATCATAGCTACTTTATCACTAAATAGATAAATAGTGAGACACTAGTGGATAATAATGCTGCATATCGCCCTCTAAATTACGTTACTAATTAATTTAAGTTAATTTAACGTTACCCCCAAAGAGCCTCTAGAGGGCAGTGTTTGTCGTCCCAGTTTTGGAGTAAGCAGTAGCATCCTGATATCAATAGACTTTTAGTCCAAGTTAACGTTACCACTTATTTTAATTAACCTCAAGTGTATTTGAATAAAATGCGATGTGGCTGTGGATTCAGGCGTCTGGGATCAGGCCAACGTCGGCTAGCCGGTAAACATTACGAACTTGGAGTTGGTTTGTTGTTAAAACAATGTAGAGTCAAATAAACAAGACAGTTAAATAGCTAGATAACTAAGTACAAATAAAAGTATAAGAGAAACTATAGCTTGTTCGCAAATAATACCATATCAATAAAATTAGTTAATACATTTGTGTCATACTATAATAACATAAAGCTAAGATATAACACAACCATTTAAAGGGAGCCTTCTAAAGCATACTATTCACCAAAGACATTTACTTGTAATTAAATATTTTCATATTGCAGTATTTCTTCTTCTACTGAAGGATCTGAATACTCCTTTCCCCACTGCAGGATTAGATCATGTTGCAAACAATAAAGACCCTCCCTCTCCGTCAGTGGCTGTGGACGGCCTGCAGGTGTCGCTGCCAGCACCCCGGTAAAGCCCCATGCCTGCCCTGACAGGAGTGACACAGTGTGGGTGTTTGCCTGTCACCCAGGGGCCCTGTGTCAACAGCAGAGGGAAGAAGAAGAGACATAGAGGAGGAAACCAGAAAGTAACTGTGCTGCAGACATGGACCTGCGGTCTGAGCTGCTCAAGTCCATCTGGTACGGTTTCACAGCCCTGGATCTGGAGAAGAGCGGTAAGGTGTCCAAGTCTCAGCTAAAGGTGAGTTGGGGGGGGTCTTCTACCAAGAAAATAAGACTTTTTTTTGTCTGACAATTCACTTACTTTTTGATTCTGCTGCCTCTTTTCCGACCACAATTCATATTCCATCACGTGGGCTCGCTCTGAGAAGGATGAGGTGAAAACTATTTGAAGTGCTCAGCAAACTAAATGTCACAAATGCATTTGTTATTCGGTCTTTGTTACATTTTATATTGTGCTTCAGGAACTAAGTGTGTATGCAATCTGATCATCTTGAATATTTCCTGTGCTTTTAAACCACATGCTGTCCAACAAGGAACAAATTAGTTCTCTACGTTTCGCATAAAATGTTTTCACCCCTGAAAGAGGGCACAATATGCACCTCTGTCTGGCAACAGCACGAGAGTAACAGTTTGCTCTCAGTCTGTATATGAATGGGCGCCCTCATCTCCAAGCTGTGCTTACACACTGGGCCTCCATGTACCAGCTTATAGTGCAAAGGGTCCTCTGGCACTGGACCTGACCAGAGAACAGCAAGTTGAATAGACATGAGCCCGTGTACGTCAAAAGAACATTGTTAGAGTGAGAGCGAGGAGAAAGTGGAAACATGTTGGTGATTGTTGTCTCTCGCCACAGGGCATCAATGAAGCCACTGTATTTTTGTTGATCTCATTGTTATGTCACTTCTTGGTCTCGCTTTTGGATCAGACTCCATTCACTGCCACCTCCACGTTCCTGCGATTTGCTGCCTGCCGCTGCTGGCTCACAGCGAGTCAGCCTCATGACTAGGCTTATCCTTTTGTCGTGCATGCAGCCTGTGTACAGGCACCACGCTCTTTAGACGCACTCAGAGGCAAGCAGTTTGCATGCCACGGCCTCAAAACCGACAGATGTTGTAGTGCGCTGCAGTCGAGAGACAGGATGTGGTTATGGCTCAACACGGTTGTCTGATAACATGCAAAAGATATCTCAAGAAGTTGCATGCTCTCATTTGGAGGAATGTATTGCAGTAAAAGCAAAAGTAATACGAGTAGTAGTAGTACGCTGATTGCATATAGTAGTTTGTTTTAGTAGTTTGTCAGTCAGCTGCAAAGCACTTTGAGCTGCACTAAATGTATGAAGACTGCTGCATAAATAGAATTTGATTTGATTTATTTTAAATCAGATAAAGAGTTTATTTTTTGCAATTCAAACAGTGTCTTAAAATGTTTAGCATGAAGTATGTCCTTGAAAATCACTCCAGGCACACTTTTTTTCTATAGTTTTCACAGTGATGTACGTGCAAACCAGATTAATTTTAGACATACGATGCAGCGGAAATTCTAAATTTCAGTTCCCTAAAGATCAAAATGACCATTTTCTCTGAATTTGTTGCCTCATATTTTCTGCGGGTGTCTACTAGATATACAGTATATTGATTTTTCAGGTGCTGTCCCACAACCTGTGCACAGTCTTGTCTATCCCACATGATCCAGTTGCTTTGGAGGAGCACTTCAGGGATGACGATGATGGTCCAGTTTCCAGTCAGGGTTATATGCCTTACCTCAACAAATACATCCTGGACAAGGTAATAACACCACAACTATATGCTCTTTTTGTTTTGTTAAATTGTAATGCTGTGTAGTCTAGGATGCTGTTTCAGTTTTTTTAATCAATCTCTGCATTTTGTCATTTTAGGTTATTGAGGGCTCTTTTATTAAGGAAAACGTAGATGAGCTTTGTTGGACACTTACGGCAAAGAAAAACTACCAGACGGACAAAACCAGCAGCACTGTCCTGCCAGAGAAGGATGCTTTTCGGCTTTGGTGCCTTTTTAATTTTCTCTCTGAAGACAAGTACCCATTGGTTATGGTCCCTGACGAGGTAGGTTCACTTAGAGTATATTTAGATTTAAGTGAATTTCTTCACACTCAGTCATTACAATTTCTATCACAAAACACTTTAAAAATGTGCTATATACTTGATATTCAAAACATGATTTGACTGCAAAGAGCATGTTGTGTTGTTTGATTATTTAAGCAAACAAATATGCACAACTTGAAGTCATAGTTGGTTGTAGCAGCGTAGAATGATAGTGACCATTATTTCTAAATCTAGCCACATGGATAATTCAAGTTGTTGTGCTCTGTTGGTGAGTACAATTTAGAGACTGTAGTCAGTAATTTGTGACCTAAAAGTGGTGCTGGATCTTTAAAACCACTAAAAGCTGCCCGAAACTCTGTTTCTTGCCATCATGGAACGCTGTGCACTTTTCATAAAGCGGTGTGGGCTTGTTCTCACTTGCAGACTCTCGTTTTGGTTTCCTGTCAAGTGTTTTTCACAGCTGCTGCCAAGAGAAAGCCTTACATTTCAAGGGCAGAGCAGTTTCTATCATGCTGAGTTTAAGTAAACATTATCCAGTTTTATTTTGGGACTTGCTTCACACAAAAACCGCTGTGCAAAGAAATGTGTGGTGATATGAGTACTACAGCATAGTAAATACTATTACTAAAGCATGTTTAATTAATAATCAACATAACTAAAAGTTACTCTTGAGAAAGGACATTGTTGGATGTGATCTTTACCGTGGTGTTGAAAAATGCAAACTACAAAATAAAGTGCACAAATAAAAAAAAGGGTGCTCTGATAACAACCATTTGTTGTGAATAGTTTCGCAACTGTAATGAGGTCAAAACAACCTTCAGAGTGAAGTCACTAAAATGCAACCAAAATGAAGCACAAACAACTCCAAAAAACGTACCAAAAAAGTACTTCATTATAATAGAAGAAGATAGTAACTTCCTCCAGTGAGTATAATTGCAGCAAAGATGAATAATTCAAATGAACCACAATCATTTTCACTCTCAAAACCTTTGGTTTCTTTTCCTCTTCAGGTGGAATACCTCCTCAAGAAGATATGTATGGCTATGAGTATTGAGTTCAACTGTGTTGAATTAGAGGACTTCTTCTCCCAAGATTCAGTGCAGCAGAGCGGCATTACTGTTTGGGTTTTTCTGGAGATGATGAACTCTGGAAAGATGACCAGAGGAATTGATCAGAGCATAATCAGCATGGCTATAGAGGAAGTATACAGGGAGATAGTTGGTGATGTCCTCAAAGAGGTAGGAGACCCATCTGCAACCAGAAGTCCGTGCTTTGGTTCCTGACATGCTTTGCATTGTTTTGGTGACAATATACGTCTGTGTCTGTCGGTTGCATGCAGGGTTATTTGTGGAAGAAAGGCCAGCTGAGGAGAAACTGGAAGGAACGCTGGTTCACCTTAAGGCCGAGCAACTTGTCCTATTACACCGGGGAGGACCGCAAAGACTGTCAGGGCAACATAGTTCTGGATGGGAAATGCTGTGTGGAGGTAAGCAGCTGGAGCTGATCAGCTGATCAAAAGAAATACATAGTTCTCTTTTGCTTTATTTTGTACATTTGATTTCACTTCCCTCATCTTTGTTTTTTCTTGGGAATTACTATAAAATGATACCACTTCAGGACAAAGAAATAAGAAAAAAAACGCTTGTTAAATTGTTCTCAACCAATAGACATGTGCAACAAGATGCAAGGAGTTGCAGTGGACTATGCGAAAATTATCAGGGGTGAGGAAGGAAGAAAATTATGTCTCAATTTTCTAAAAACAAAAAAAAACAAGGCAAGGCCCTCCCCAGTGTTAATATAATTTGGACCATTTCCTTGACTAAGGGCCCTTTCGCACCTGTCTTGTTTGGTCCGCACTTTGATCCGAACCATCGAAACCGCTGAACCTTTGGAGAGCCCGTCTACAAATCAATGTCAAGTAAAGTGAGACGCTGCTCATGTAGATGATGACGTCAGGACATATGTCATGTGGAGTTTGTTAGTCCGCTCGCATAATTGCAACGTGAAACAAAAACGAACCGTATCAAATGTATACAATCTTACCATAGAAACAGAATAGGAGTAGAACAGACGCAAACTGTTATCCGTGGTCCTTTGACTGGTAAAAATTGACTAGTGAAGATTGTTGTCAGTTGTAGTGGTGGTGTAGCATTAAAGCATGGTGTAATTGGCAAGCTAGCTAGCTAACTAGCGTACAGCTAGCTAGTTAGCTAGCTTGCTGAACAAAGTTGTCACTCATCTGGTGATGGCAATGTGGTTTACTACCTTGTGACGAAAGTGTGTGAGCGAAGCATTAAGTTGCTAATCACTTAAGGCCCTCCCCCTCCCTGCTAAAAATGGCAGCTTCCCTTCAGCAAGGAGAAAATTACATAACCCTCCATCTTTTCTGAACCTCGCTACCCCCGACAACTTTTTCAAGTTTATAAGATAACTTTGGGTGGAAACTGATTGTTTCCAAATTCCTCACAAATCTGACAGATCTCAAATGAACTGAACTCAAGATTAGTGTTCGACTCTCACTCGAATGAATGACCCATTCTGACTATGAAGCCTGCAGTAGAGGAGCGATTGTTACCTGGGCTGTTCTGGTGATCACTGCCACACAGTACCGCACTTAGTAATGACAAAGTATGGTCAAGCTCTGTTATTTTCTCAGCAACACCACTACACACTGCACCATGTTACTCCAAAGTAAGCAAAGCAATCATTCTAAAACCATGCTTTATTATAGGAAGTAGACGATCAAATATTGTTTGGTCATTCAAAATGGATCAAAAACCTCTTTTACCCTGTGAGTTCACCTTTTTTTTTCTCCTTAACACTGTTTATTTCCGAGACACTCACAACAAACGTAAAAGACATGTGAAGAAGGCATTGTTATCCATTAAAAATGATGTGTTCCTTGTTGAACAGGTGCTACCAGACCGGGATGGGAAAAGGTGCATGTTTTGTCTGAAAACGCTCTCCAAGACTTATGAGATGAGCGCCTCAGACACCAAACAGAGACAGGAGTGGACTTCAGGTCAGAGGAGTAGGGCTGTCCTTGATTAGAGAAATTCTTAGTCGACTAACAATACAGTTTTGTTGACAAAACAAATCATGCATAAGTTTACCAGGGATGTGCCAGGGATGATTCATTTCTTGGAAATAACTCATTCAGCACGAAAAAAGCTTTAAAAACGACTAATCGATGATAGAAATCTCAGTCAACTAAGACCAATGACCAGTTCTAGGTGGCAGCCCTATAGAGGAGTTCTGATCACTAATAAGTCATGGATCAATCTTGAAAGCTTCATTTTCATATCAAGACATTAAATATGATCTTCTTTATAGCCATTCAAACAGCTATCAGGCTACACGTGGAGGGGAAAACATCCCTCCACAAGGATTTGAAGCTGAAGCGGCGTGAACAGCGGGAGCAGCGGGAGAAGAGACGGCAGTCCAAGGAGGAGGAGCTGCTGAGGTTGCGGGCCCTGCAGGAGGAACGGGAGCGTAAGCTGGCGGAGCTGGATCTCCTGAAAGAGGCGCAAAAGCAGGCTCAGGTCCTCCTGGCGCAGGACGAGCAGAGGAGGCGCCAGCAGCACGAACAGCTCCAGCGGGCCCTGGAGGTCCAGCTGCGAGATGCTGAGGAGGTGAGTGTGGAGGCAAAGAAGGGGAAAAAAGGTTTTGAATTCAGTAGCAAAAAGATGTGAGTGTTAATTCCTTTGCTTGTTGCTGTACCTCTCAAGGCTCGGGTCAGTATGCAGGCAGAGATGGTTCTGAAAGAGGAGGAGGCGGAGCGGCAGAGGAAGAGGATCAAGGAGCTGGAGGAGATGCAGAAGCGTTTGGAAGAGGCGCTGCAGTTGGAGATCAAAGCCAGAATGGATGAGGAGGCCTTCCGCTATGCTCAAGCAGGGTAAAGTGTTATATGTACCCAACCATCTCTTAAGACATGATTAGAGACATTTATACACCCTCATAGCGCAATAAGAAGTCATTTGTTTTGTCTGAGAGCCACCAAACAATAATCTGTGAGCTGTAAGAAGGGAGGTGCTCTCTGCAGACAGCAGATATCAAGTTTAGCTGCTGAAAGGAGTTCACGTTGCGTTATGTTCCTGAGGAAGTTGAGCCGCCAACAGAGGAAGTTGTTAAACGCTGCCATCAGTTAGATCTATTGTGTCACTGTTTTTGTTTCTCGTTCAACCTTTCCAAGTAAAAGTTTCTGATTAATTGATCACATTAATCTGCAGCACATTAACAGCACACATTAGTTTCTGTACATCTTTGCTCATTACAATGTCTGAATGTCAATAGTTCATCCTCTCAAACAGTGAGGATTCAATCATACATTCTTTTATGAAATGTTATTGTTTGTGTTCTCTGTTGTGTCCAGATTACTGGCCGAGGAGGAGGAGAAAATGAAGGCCCTGATGTCCCTGCAGGAGGAACAGGAGGAGTACATCCTGAAGACACAGAGGGAGAAGCAGGAGCTCAAACAGGAAATGGAGGTCAAGTCACGATCCCTGGATGAGGCTCAGAGGCAGCTGGAGGAGGTCCGCGCCAACAGGCACAGGGTTGACCAGGATGTAGTGGTAAGAAGTAAAAAATAAAAGCTTCACATGTAAATAAGAGAAGAGTCAAATCGATCTTGTATCTCTTCGAGGAAATGTTGTTTGTTGGGGTTCTGGTGTGATACCAGAATAAAACATTGAACCAATAGCAGCTGATGTTTTGGCTTAAGTTTCCTCTTGCACACCTGTTAAGTTGAATTTCAAGCCTATATGACTGTTATTAATTCAATGTATTTATTTGTTAACCATCATTTAACCAGGTAAGAGCCTGTTGAGATTTTAGGACGACAGAGGCAAGACGACGGCATCTACAGTTACAGACAGGGCGGCACATTACAGTGTGCAGTATAACACAGACATTAATGAAACAAAATACACAGCTGTTATGGATTTTCCTTCAATTAATGAATTCATAGTCCAACCAGAACTAGAGTTTTAAGGTGCAGCTTACTCTATCCTTTGGAGACTTTATAAGACTCGTTTTATGAATTGTATACCTGATGATGGCATCACTAGTGCACAGTGGGGTGTTCTTTCTGCTTTGCTAATCTCCCTCAAGAGAGCCAGCATTGTACATTCCTCAATGTTGCAATTGTCATTTTTTTCCCCTTAGTGACAGAACTTTGTAACGTTGCTGTGAAAAGATAATTATTACAGATATTTATATTAGTTGCAGTTGGTTGTAATGCTAACAGTAGTTTATTTCTTAATTGCTTATAGGTGTCAGGTGTTTTAACGAGCTGCTCTTTTTCTCTGACAGGCTGCCCAGCGAAAACTTCGCCAGGCGAGCACCAACGTCAAACACTGGAACGTCCAGATGAACAGACTGATGCGACCCATCGGACCAGGCGGTATGTGTCCTGTCTGCACGACGACATGGTGCTTTGTGTGACATGACATTTACAGCTTGATTTTTCAGCTTTCACACCAGCAGAGGAAAGGCAAAACTTTGACATCAGGCATATTTCACAGACAACATTTTGACACAGGCAAAGCAGAGCTATAAATGATACAAACAATGAATAATGGCTGACTTCTATTTTGCTGCCTCAGTTTCAGGGTCACGGTATTGTACATACTCGGTCATTGTCACACTTTCATGACTTACTGGGACACGTGAATTGAATTTACAGATCTGCAAAATAAAATGCTATTAAATGCTTGTTTTCATCGACCAACACAACATTAGAAGTGTAGCAGATAAACAACTGATTCTCCTGATGGGTGCCATTATACAACAGTCTTGTCATCGCTCCACACAGATTCGATGTTTTGAGTGTTTTCATCCAGCTGTTTTCATGTGCAGATTGAAAAAGTGACTGGCACATTTCAAATGTGTCTAGTGTGAAAAGGGTCTGATTTCTGATAATACAACTTTCTACTGTTTCACTGACAGAAGGAACCTCATATTATGTGGTGACAAGTGTGTGTTTGAAATAAGCATTTATGTCTTATGTTACAGCAGCATTTGAATTATTTCCACAGAGTGTACTGTAGGTTACTAAATGCCAGCACTGCGGTTGGGTTGACATTTAACTTTGCTTCATGTAAAGACTGGTGTAACACCGTTTTCTTAGATCAGAGATTGTATGTGAATAAATAAATGTTTGTTATATTTCAGCCTGTTCTGTAAATATATTTACTGAAATTTCAGGGGGGGGGTTTAACCAGTGAATCCCTTCTCTATTTCAGCATCCTCATCTCCAAACCACTTGGTCTGATTTTACTCTGAAGTGTTTTCTTTGTGCTGTTTTTAGAGAAGAGACCATCGTTAGGAAGCTCCTTCTCAAGCTTCCAGATCCCGACACAGAGAGATCCGGGGCTGCGTCTCAGAAGGAGATCTGGATCAGAGGATCAGGACGAGGAGAGCAAAGAAAATGTTGACAACCGAGCTGGATGTGATTTAGAAAAGCGCCACTCCCATGCCTCTAACGGAGACATGGACATCCCCTAAAAACACGAGTCAGAGAGGCTGCATACTTGTCACGTCTGTCACTTTCTGACAGGCAGGGCAAGAGATGGTGCAACAGTTGAACATCTACACTTAAACTGAATTTACTACCAACAGTACTACCATTTTTATTAAATGTTGAATTACTGACCTCACGTCACAAACGGAAACAGTTTAAAACATTTTAATGATAAGATGCATTTACAGAATCAACTAATGCTTTGACTGCAGCCTGTGAGGCCTGTTCTGAACATAAACGATACCTCAGTGCAAAGAAAACGAGCTGTAAGCAAGATCCCCGAAGTGCAAAGTAAGTTGAGATGTGTTAAAGACTAATACTTACATACAATGTAAGGAAGCTCATTTATTTAGCTCTGTAATATAGACATATAACAATGTTTCATTTTTATGTATGTATTTTTTTGGCCGGAGGGTGGCTTGACTATTTTTTTTAACGTAAAAAGTTGGTTCAGTATTGGAGTTTACAGCTGTTTCCTTAGAAGAGTATCATTCCTGATGAACAGGAAAGAGAGAGAAACTCTCATTTAACTTCCTGTTTCTATTGTCAGTTAACATAATTGTAAATAAAAGAGTGAATTGATGCCTTAACCTGATTTCTGCCTGTATCTTTCCTGTGTTAAATTATGTGCTGCATGTCAATAAAATCTCAATCTATATTTTACACAATGAGTAGCTGAAATAAATACTATAACTGTATTAAGTTATAAGAAAGGTGACATTTTAATTACAAATACCTCACAGTGGAGCAAATTGAAACCCACACTGCTGAATTTTCAAACTGCACATCCGCTTTAGTTTGAAATTGAGTGCACGTCACTTGTTCTGGGTTAAAATGTGTCATCGATGACTAATTTGACAGCTCTCACAAACAGAAGTCGGCACATATGAGTTAACAGAGACATCCGCTGACACACAGAGCAAACTACATGTCTTCTGGATTGATTTTTAGAATCCGAAAGTGTTTTTTTAAAGTCGTGTTGTCAACATCCTAGTTTTACCGGCAAGCATTCACAGTTTTTCTCCCCTTTTTTTGGGGACTATTTTTGACTCTGCTATAAAATAATTAATATTATCCAGATTTCAGAGAGTTACAGTAAAACCACAAAAAAAACATAAATACAATCAATCAATACATAAAGAATACATTATAGACTCTTATACTTATTTTCTATAGATATGGGGGAGTTTAACTGCTTTTAAATAAACCTTTGATATGTTTAAATTCAGTTGTTTTGAACTTTCTTGTTCTTGGGAAAGTATATGTTTGATTTAAATCCGCTCCTCTAAATCCATGTAATTGTGAATGCAGATTTGAAAAAAATAAAACTAAATTCAAATTCAAATGCATTAACCTGTGTGGCCAAGAGCAAAAAACAGCTGCTAAGCCCCCCCATTTATTCCTATGATGGACCCCAGGATTACTGTGTAATGAATATATTAACCACATATTAATTTAGGAAAAAAATTGAAATATGCACAAGTAAATAATAAAAGTCTGAAAACTGGATTTAGGCATAGAGTTTCTCTTCATTACAGGCAATGTATTGTTCGCAGATCTCAGCAATTACCTTAGTAAAATGTTATCATAACTGATAAAACTGGCCCGAGCAATAAAACTAAAACACAAGTTGTAATAAACCATAGTTTTCCTTTAAGGCACTTATTACGTCAACTGATAAATTGTGTTGACTGCCAAGCAGTCAATATAATTAAACATATTGATATTAAGCTGCACAGTGTGCTTCTTGCTTTGCCTGGTTGGAATGTAAAATGTGGCTGGAAAAATCATTAGATAAATACATTTTGTTTCTCATTTTGTGTTTTGTCATGCAGTCCAATCCTATCTAATGAAGTCAATTGTATTCAAACCAAATCAACAATTAGCCCTAAAGGACTAGAACGTTTTATTTTTTGCAGCAATTACGAAGGTTTTTCAGTATCAGTGCGGATCCAAAATAAATGCCCATGTTACAGAAACAACAGCGCATAATTATTATAAGAGAGACCTTAACTCCCCAGAAAGCTGTTTGTTGGATCCAGCCTGGTGTGTGGGTTTGCGTGCGTGCGCGCGGGGGGGAAAGGTGTGCGCGTGCGTGTGTATGGAGGGGGGGGGGGGGGGGCGCGGGGTTGTTCTGGCGTGTGACGGTGGGGGGGGGGGGGTGAAGCAAAGCACAGCGGAACAACAAGGAGAGAGTCGGGGAGGGATTAGTAGTTCACTGTGCTTATCTGCATGTGATATGGTAGCGAACAAAAGTGTTAGAAGTGTTTTTTCTTTTCTTTTGAGCTCAGCGGTGTTTTCGGCTACATGAAGGCCCGCGTCAATCTAAGTTTATGTTAGCAGTCTGACGTTAGCTCCTGCGGCTAGCTCACTCCTGCTGCTGTGACTTCACACAACTTGTCAACAGCCGATCGATCCTGGACGGGACAGTAGCGACTGTTTTTCGCCCCATGTTTTTTTTACCCTGGCACATTTCTCGTAGCGTAAACATCCCCTGAACCAGCAGCAGTATTGGGAGAGGTAAGCTAACTTGGCAAGTCTGCTAACGTTATTTAAAGGCACACACGGGAATGTGGGTCAGCCACGCTAACAGCTAGTAGTAGTATTCAAGGTTAGTAGCTAACTAGCGCTAGCTAGGTTAGCTAGCCGTGCCGACTCTCCTCGACGGCCGACTGACAGGCTAAAGCTACCTATCGATACCTATCGATACGTATCGTACTGTTTTCACTTTGGGTTAAAAAGTTTGACAGTAACCATGTTTATAACTTTGCTGACTTTTCATTTCTCAAATGCCCGTATCCAGTTACGGTCCTGTCATTCACAGTAACGTGGGCAGATATTTCCAAGAACTAGTGTGACAGGTTGTTTGCTGGCCGACAGGTCTCAGCAGACAACCTGAGCTGTGTTGATCCCTACATGTTATGAAAACAAAGCTCAGACTTCGTGACGCTTTGGGCGATCATGTAATGACGATGTTTATCGGGAAAACGTTAATACATCTGTAATAAGTACACACTGTGGATGTGTGTCCCGGGCACAGCTAATGTTACAAGCATGCACGGATTAATCCACTAGGGGGCCGCGGGGCAAATATTTAAATTTAAGTATTTAACCCCACCATCAAAGCCCTCTCCCCTACTGCCCTCGACCTGCTCAATGTGTACATAGTGCATGCACCCTGTCCCCTTAAAGCACCCAAGTACACAGTGCACCCTACCATGGAAATGAGGCAAACAATAATACAGATGTCTCCCAGCTCCAGCAGAGACAAAGTTTACTTTTTAAGATAGCGGGGAACAGACTGAAATGTTTAGGACACGTAAATGTCAGGCCAAACGCTGTGGTTAACATAGGACTCTTGAGCTGTGGACCCTCTGTCTTCATGGGAATGGGGCCCTTATTTGTGTACAGACCTGCGTTTTGTAATTTAGATTTTATCCTGATAAAAATGAGTAAGAAAGGGTGGCGGCTGTGCCGCCTTCAACATCTCTGGTTGTGGAAAACCATTGTGGGCATGTTTCTAACCAATGAGCCGGACTGCTTTGTGTCGATTTTAATGTGATCTTTAATGTGCCTTCATCTGTTATTTTTTTAGATTTGCTGCATTAGCCATAAATAGACATTCTTGACTATCTATAATGATTATTTTTGACAGAAAATGTACTATACCGTATCAATAACATGTACCATGATAGAGGATTTACTGGTTATCACCCACCCCTATCAAAATTTGAACTTTTAGGGCACTTAATAGTCTGAGTCCCCTGCTTGGCTGTTCCTATTGCCAAGCGTAGGCATGCCTACGGTGTGTGTGTGTGTGTGTGTGTGTGTGTGTGTGTGTGTGTGTGTGTGTGTGTGTGTGTGTGTGTGTGTGTGTGTGTGTGTATATGTGTGTGTGTGTGTATATGTATGTGTGTGTGTGTGTATATGTGTGTGTGTGTGTGTGTGTGTGTGTGTGTGTGTGTGTGTGTGTGCGCGTGTGTGTGTATCATGTGAAAACCCTGTAACTATCAAGGACACTACCTGGCTGCTCAAACACAACCAGTAGTAATGGACTGTCTCGGGGAAAGTAAACTTAAATAAACACACTGTCAAAGAGTCACACTTATTTCAGTTGTAAGTGATTCATTAAAGCTAAATAGCCAAACTATAGACTCATTTTTACTAATGTGCTTATATGAAAAACTTATCATTTTGGTGAGTATTTTTGCTCTGCAACATGTATTGACAAGCGTAAAGCTCGGTTGGGCTAGTGAGCGGTCACTGGTCTTGGACTGTTAACCACTCACATGCTGGATGAAATAGCAAAGAAGCATTAGCTTAGGCCAGTTGACAGTGATGAAGTGGTCAGAGTTGTTTTGTATGACGTCCACATGTTATGTTTACATTACATTACATTTAATATAACAAGTCTTTTATTCTTCAATAGTGGAACTATGATGACAACGTGACAGGAGGGGAGCCGCTGAGACAGCTTAAACTGCAACCATGGAAGGTACTAAGAAGCGCGAAAGGGTGAACGGCCACAGCAAGTCCAAATCCCCCCAGGACTCGGCTGATGTCAGGTGGACGCCACCCGAGGGAGAGTTTGGAGGTTCAGACAGCTGTGGGAGGACAAGTGTGTCAGACCTGCAAGAGTTAAAGGCCAAGGAAAGTGATGATGAAGAGGAGAAGGAGGTAGTTCCTCCCTCTAAAGGCCTGAAAGGGGACCAGAAGAAAAAAGAGAAAGAGATTCTGGATCAGGAGGAAAACAATCACGGCAAGCAAAACAGCAGTGCAGCTTCCACCTACACAGGTACGATCTCATGACTTGCTTCCTGGAAAGTCATTGGAAATGGTGCATGACATTCAAGTGGCAATCCTTAAAAGAGTTCCTGGTTGATTGAGAATTTCTATTTGTGTGGAAACAATGGGCTTATAGGTTCATTTATTTTCCATTTTGCTATGTAAGACCAACTATATTATATGTGGAGGGTGGAGGATGAAGCTGCTCTGGAGTCTGGTGGCACAGGGGCAGATACTTCAGTAACGCTTGCCACATGGCAGCAGGGTGAACAGGCTGTTCAAATTCAAATTCTATACATAGTTCTTTTTTCTGTGTGTATACAATGGAGAAAAACTGTAATGCAGTGGGGTTTCAGGAATGTCACCACAGACACTCAGCTTGTAATTCTGTTATTTGTTATTATATACATCTTGCAATATTTTCAACAGTAGGCAAAAGGCTCAATCATTGTTCTACCTCGTTCGGCGATAGATAATGACTTGACGGTCATTTGTTTCACGGAAAATCTTCGAGATCGCCTCGTCAATATTCATGCTTTTTTCCCTTTTTCTTCAGACCTGTCTCACACCTCGTCACCCTCGCTGTCAGAACAGCTGCGTCTCGGCCAAAACGACAGCACAGCGTCTGGGATCAGCGTGGAGTGTAAGGTCTGCGGGGACAAGGCCTCTGGCTTTCACTACGGGGTGCATGCCTGCGAGGGTTGCAAGGTAATGCAGTGTGTGCGCGCGTCACGGCAGAATAGCCAAGTGAGATTACAAAATATCGATAACAGCAGTTTGGTGCCGTCTAATAGGAGTTGCTGAACCAGTTGCTTTGTTTCTCACTCAGGGCTTTTTCCGGCGTACCGTGCGAATGAAACTGGAATACGATCGCTGCGAGCGCGCCTGCAAGATTCAGAAGAAGAATCGTAACAAGTGCCAATACTGTCGCTTTCAGAAGTGCCTTTCTTTGGGAATGTCGCATGATGGTGAGAGCGAAAAATATTTTAGCAAATGAACCATGTCCGTAATTTAAATGTTATTTAAAGTCATTTTACAAATCCATGACCTGAATGTCGATGTAACTTACCGAGAATGGTTAAGTTTCAAAGAATAGGATTCAATCTATAGCGGGTAAGAAATCCATTGCAAATCTCCTTTGGAATTTTTTCACATTCTAGCTCCAGTGGATGTTAACTTGTTATTGATTTGCATTGATAAATGCTCGAAGAGTGAAATGCGTTTGTGCACCCTGTTAGTGAGCAAGAGAAAACAATCACCAAGGTCTCTGTAGTCTCATGCTCTTTTAAAACATGCTCCTCTGCTGTTATTGAGGTGATGGCGAATTAAGATTTCTTGCCAACTAGGAACCTGTTCCACAAAGAAAAACATCAGAACCACGCTCAGTGATTCTCTCCTGAAATATTCACTCAAAAATAAGACCTGTGTGTGTGTGCGTGTGTGCGTTTGCTCAGCAATCCGATATGGACGTATGCCTGAGGCGGAGAGGAAGAAGCTGGTGGCGGGCCTGCTTGCTGAAGAAGTAAACCTCAGCAAACCAGGTGGCTCAGACCTGAAGACATTGGCCAAACAAGTCAACACCGCCTACCTGAAGAACCTCATTATGACCAAGAAGAGGGCCCGCAGCATCCTGTCGGGCAAAACCAGCAGCACCTCGGTACGTTCTACCCTCAGAACAGCTTAGTACCGGTTTTACTGTGACTCTGACCCTTAACGCCATACTATACTGTTTTAATCAGTCTAACTTCTTCTGGTTTAGCTGTTGCTACATAATCCATTCTTGTGTTTTATGCTATTCCGACAATCCGACAAAATTTAAAGTAACCGATGGTAATTTCCGATAAATGTGTTCTTGTCTCCCGTTCAGCCGTTCGTGATCTACGACATGGACACGCTCTGGAAGGCAGAAGGGGGTTTGGTGTGGAGCCAGTTAATTCAAGGTGCGCCCCTCACCAAGGAGATCGGGGTCCATGTGTTCTACCGCTGCCAATGCACCACCGTGGAGACCGTGCGAGAGCTCACCGAGTTTGCCAAGAGCATTCCGGGCTTTGTGGACCTCTACCTTAATGACCAGGTGAGTGACTGTCTACTCTGCTGGTAAGATGATGGATATACGGCTGTTTTTTTTTTTTTTTTTAGGCACTAATGTACAATTGTCTGCCTGCTGTCTGCAGGTGACTTTGCTGAAGTATGGTGTGCATGAGGCTATATTTGCCATGCTGCCCTCTCTCATGAACAAAGATGGACTGTTGGTGGCCAATGGTAAAGGCTTTGTGACCAGGGAGTTCCTGCGCAGCTTAAGAAAGCCCTTCAGTGAGATCATGGAGCCCAAGTTTGAGTTTGCAGTCAAGTTTAACGCTCTGGAGCTGGATGACAGTGACCTGGCCCTGTTTGTTGCTGCCATTATTCTCTGTGGAGGTGAGAGCGAAGGCTTTTCTAGTAAAGTATGAAGAATGTCATATTTGCTTTTTGTTGTGTTCAAGGTATCTGCAGGTCTTGAGAAGTCTTCAAAAGTATTTCATTAATAGTGTCCTCTGAAGAGGGTCTAAAACCAGCGTACACTTTATTTACAAACATCTTAAATACATTCTCAGTAATGTCAGTCATGACATGTGTAGTCAGAAAGCACCATAAGGCCTGAAGCAAACACTCTCACTGCCAGGAAGCTGTTACACTCAAAGACATCAACTTAAATGAATTCATCTTTTTTAATTGGTTCGTCCAACCATCCATTTTTATGCTGGGTCCAGGTTGCATTAATTCTATGAATTATATCTTTAGAAATGAGTTCTATATACTATATTATACTATATCTATTATACTATATACTAAATATCTGCCATTTTGTGCCTGCTGGTTCTCCATCATACCTTCATACTTTGGTCTGTCGGGGTTTGAAACGGTTGTTAAATTGTGTTCTATGTGTCATTAGAAAGGAATAAAAAAATATCTTAAATTCAACTTGGTGAACCCTGCAGAAACCATGCATGTTTGCTTCGTGTAAAGTATGACTCATCATAAGGTGTCCCTTCTTCTTCTTCTTCTTCTTCTTCTTCTTCAGATCGTCCCGGGCTAATGAACGTGAAGCAGGTGGAGCAGAGTCAGGACAACATCCTCCAGGCCCTGGACCTCCACCTACAAGCAAACCATTCTGACTCAGCCTACCTCTTCCCCAAGCTGCTGCAGAAGATGGCCGACCTTCGTCAGCTAGTTACTGAGAACGTTCAGCTCGTCCAAAAGATCAAAAAGACTGAGTCGGAGACCTCGCTCCACCCTCTACTACAGGAGATCTACAAAGACATGTATTAGTATTCCCCAGCACAGACTTGCTTTTAGCAATACTGTTACAGACTGAATTAACCTTCATGATACTACACTGCATTCAGTACAAGCACTGTTCCACGTACGGGCATGGATTTTAACATGCAGATGAGGCAAAGTGACGTGGCAGGGCTAACACAATCAGGAAAGTCTTCTCAATGTCAGCATTACCCTCAGCACAGGTGTGTGTGTGTGTGTGTGTGTGTGTGTGTGTGTGTGTGTGTGTGTG